GACACTAAGTATTTGTAATTTGTAATGTTTGCGGTATGAATTCGTTGGTGACGTGTATAATATAATAGATGATTTAGAGGTAAAAGTTTTTGGATATTTTTTTATTTATATGTGGAAATGTTCATATTTGGAAAGGGTATAATACTTTTTCGCGATCAGGTAATTTCATATATGTTCTTTTTACCGGTTTTAAAGATTGAGAAAATTGTCATGTATTTTCGTGAAAAAATTTTTCTAATTTATGAGAAAAAAGCAGTGTACATGGATATAGTGAAGAGTGTGCGCAATGCCATTTTTGTGCAATTCTGGGATGTTTTTTTAAGTAAAAAATAAGTCGACGTGTACATGGTTTAGTGATATTTTAATTAAATGATAGTTATTTTGTGAATTTTAATTTTGTAGGAATTTGGTATACGTTTAAGTTGAAGTAAACGTGCATGGAAATAATTTAAAGATTTGACACTAAGTATTTGTAATGCTTGCGGTATGAATTCGTTGGTGACGTGTTATAATGTAATAGATGATTTAGAGGTAAAAGTTTTTGGATATTTTATTTTATTTATATGTGGAAATGTTCATATTTGGAAAGGGTATAATACTTTTTCGCGATCAGGTAATTTCATATATGTTCTTTTTACCGGGTTTAAAGATTGAGAAAATTGTCATGTATTTTCGTGTGAAATTTTTCTAATTTATGAGAAAAAAAGCAGTGTACATGGATATAGTGAAGAGTGTGCGCAATGCCATTTTTGTGCAATTCTGGGATGTTTTTTTAAGTAAAAATAAGTCGGCGTGTACATGGTTTATGTGTATGTGTTATTTTGAAAAACGCGTAAGGAGTATGGTATTGTGCACTTTTTCCCAATTTTGCAGTGAATATTTGTCATGATTAAGCAGTTTTGTTAGATAAAATTTCTAGCATAAGTGTAATTCGGCTAGTAGATTGTTGGAAGAAGTGTTCAGTAGATAAAAAGAAAAGAAACATGTCTTTACTTCGTGAAGACAAAATGGCGGCGGGAAAAAAAAAAAAATAGAGGGTTGCTGTAGGAGAGTTGGTCGCCAAATTTTCGCCAAAAAACGCCAAGTTACCATAATGTAAAGATCAACCTTTTTTTTTTCTTTTTTTCACTTGAGAGGTGACTCTCAGTCATCATTCGATTTGATGTGGTGATTCAAGAACTGATTCTCGATCACTACTTGGTTTGATGGCATAATTCCAGTGGTAGTGATATTTATTTAGATTTGGTTTGGGCAATATCGTTTCATGAGTGCATTTAACAACACATGCACATAAAACAACTGCCAGTCTTTAATTTTGTATATGTTTTTTTAGATTTATTGTTACATATGTATCTTTGACGTTAGTTGTGAAAACAGGAAAAGTATTTCCAATGTTACAGAGCCCAGTAACCGTGCAATATGATGAAGTTATCAGTTCAAGAGAAGATAAGTTCTAGCTTTTCTTTATGAAGAATGAAATTACAGCTATGCATATACAACTTGATACCAGGGAGGAAGAAATTGCATATGAAATCATAAAATCATCCATAAAAAATGGAATCAAAGTCATCCATAAAAAAATCACCTAACACACAGACAACAGAGTTGTTGGCAGGGCTGTGGAGTCGGATAGATTTTTGGGTAAAAGGAGTCGGAGTCACTAAAACACACGGAATCAAAGTCATCCATAAAAAAATCACCTAACACACAGAAAAGCAACAGAGTTGTTGGCAGGGCTGTGGAGTCGGATAGATTTTTGGGTAAAAGGAGTCGGAGTCACTAAAAAACATGTCGACACCGACTCCAGTTTTAATTTGAAATGAAATTAAAGTGAATTGAAAAAAAAATTTAATAACAAACTGAGTTATTTTTATTTATGACCTATATACATTAATAAACAGTTATTTTCTATTTTATTGACATATTAGTAAATAAATATAAGGGAGCAGAATAGATGTGATATTTGCCATTATTGATTAAACTGATTCATTTAGTTACTAATCTCATTGGTCAATTGAGGTAAGCAGCACGAACTCTCAAAATTGATGCTATTCTTAGGAAGCGAGCAGGAAAAGGAGCAACGCAATGGAGAAGTACATATTTGATGATATAGTGGGTGTTAGGATTAAGAACGTTTTCAAAAGATGTAAAAAACCCTAATATTTCACTAACAGAAAGACTGTGGAGTGATCTTGCAGAACAGGAAATCCTTCTTTCAACACCATATATAGTCACAAAAAAGCTACAATCTGAAGAATTAACAGGAGACGAGAATGTTAGAAGATGTAGATAACCTTAATGTTTCACTAACAGAAACACTGTGGAATGATCTTGCAGAATTGGAAACTGTTCTTTCTATACCGTATATAGCCTTCACAGTTCCATCAAAAAGCTACAATCTGAAAAATTAACAAGAGGCAAGACTGGAAGAATGCAATGTTTGTTCTTTCTGAAATGGAGGGTTTATTGCAGAAGGAATCATTTCTTTAAGGAAGAAAAGAGAAATTAGTTTGCTAGACAATAAGATCTCGCTGGGTTCAATAAATGTAGATTCAAAACGCCGAATTTTGTTGGATGACAAATAAATTAAAAACGCAAAGAAAGCCATCTATGAACTTTCATTCAGAATAAAATTATTCTCAGAACAACTAGAGTATTCAAATCAGGACAGTCAAACTGCAGATATTGCAACTGAGTCTCTATCATCTTCTTCCACTGCTGAATTAGATTTTGAGAAATATTTGGATAATATTGAAAAGACTAAGGCAAAGAAAATGAAAATACAGAACTAAAAGCCTTTAGATATAAAAATGAAAAAATACAAACAAGATTTATACACGGCCTTTGAAGAAATAGATAAATATGATTGCTCTTGCAAGACACCTCTTTTATAACTTACGAAAATCTATTCTGAAGAGTTAAAGGAAGTAGCCATAACAGTAACAGCTCTTCTTCCTACTTAAGTCAGTGTGGAAAGTTCTCAATTCTGAAGTTTATCAAATTGGATCTATAGTCCTCTAACAAAGAAGATCTTGCAGAAGTTACTATTTCTTAGAAATTACTAATGCCAGTTTTCCAATTTCATAATAAATGCTAATTAACATAAAAATTTTGCTATGCATCTATTTTTATCTGCAGCATCTACTACTTTTATATTAAAAAAAAAGCTGTACCCATGTTTATATGTTTACATATATATGGAGTCGGAGTCATTGAAATTCCACGAGTCAGTCATTTTCCCAACCAACTCCATAGCCCTGGGTTTTGGTTTGCCTCCTCAAGCACAAAGGGTTAATGCAACCGGCAATTTAGACAGTACCTACAATTTGTATGTTTGAAATTCCTAAATTTTCCTAGTTTTTTTAAAAAAACATTACACATAAGTAACTTCAAACACAGAAATTTTTTCTGAATTTGCTGAAATAACACAGTATATATATATATTTTTTTTTATAATGTACTATCCAGTAAAGTATTATATTGTTGAAAGAGGATATAATAGAATTTGAGTGTTATTTTCTGGAGAAATAAATAAAATTTTTAATGACGTATTAAGTCCAAATTATCGAGGGTTTTGTTCTTTTCTATTCGTATAGAAAACTACTACTAATTTATTTAACAAATATGTCTGAAATCGGTAAAAGTTTACAATTGGGTGCCCCTTGTTTTTTGGCGATTCTTTTTTGACGCTAAGATCGGTTCCAGGAAGGCACAATTCAAGATGGCCGCTATACAAAATCAAAATAAGAAGTCAAAGAATTACACAATCTCTGTGTCCATGTACACATCGATCTGTTTTCACTTAAAAAAACATCCTAGAATTGCACAAACTACGCATTGTGCACTGGCTTAAATTTGTCCATGTACACATCAATCTATTTTCATTTAAATGAAATCAGGAAGCTAAAACAAAGTTAAAACTATCATGGTAACCAGAAGTGAGGTTTCATCGCCGAAATTTGAAAAAAATTGTCGCTAATCGAAGGGGCACCCAATTCTACACTAGAGCACTGAAACCTTTATTCATTGGGCTAACGAAACTAGATTTTTTTTTTTCGGTAAAGGAGTCACTAAACTTAAAATAAAAAGTTAGAGTTAAAAATAAAGCATGAATATATAAATAATTTTTACACACATTGATTGATTATACCGACACCTAAAATATTGATTATATTTTAGACTTATATTACTTTCATTTTAATCAAGATGGAAATAAATGTAAATAGTGCATATCTGCTTCCAACCAAGATGAAATACAATCGCAAATATAACCGTAATTTTGCAAATTTGTATTAACGGTGTATAACAAACAAATATATATCGTCTGTAATTTATATATGATGCATGAGACATATATTTCGTTAATTTTGAACCGATTTACACTCGTCTTTCAAATATCTGCAATCAGGATTTTAAATACGTTAATAGTTTTACAAATTCCGATGAAGCAGCACAAATTTGCTATGAAATACAGAAACATATAGAAATCAAGAATAGCAATCAAATCAAAATTTAACATAAACATACGCTTTTCGAACTGAGAGTAAACAAGAAATGCGTGAAATATCTGCTATGCATGACTAAGAAAAAAAGTGAAATATAACCTCATTCTACAACTACATACGGCTTGGATAATTATTTAGGAAATTAAAATTATTTTACCCTTGTTTCAGTACTTTCAGAAGCTTCATTTAAAGCTACAGCATTTCCTTCAGAACTCATACTTATTCCTGCTCATACAATATTAAAATTTCACAGCAGTAAATTTACAATCAATAACCCCCTTAAATCCCAGAATTATGAAAGAAAATTGCCTAATTCCTTTCAGCACTAAGATAACACGGTTTACAGTTACATTAAGTAGAAACTTAATTCATGTCTTTAGAAACTTGTAAAACTGAACTCTTATTTGATATTAATTTCAAATAAAATGGATGACGATATTTCAAAAGATAAACAATATAGCTTGCCGTTTTCAAAATTGAAAAGTTAAATTTCTTTAAGTTTTGTTTTCTTTAGAAAAATCTAAGTTTGGAACCTGGCAACATTATTATGTCTCGACATTATACTGTTGTAGGACGTTTCTGAAGTACGTTTATATCGACGGTAACTATTACTTCGCGTCTTGGAGAATAATTATGAATACATTAAAGGTATTTCATCCTTCTATCGTGAATAAGGTTACTATGTGTTAATTCAGTTTTATTTTATTTATATTGTTTTATTAGTGCTTCATGAAATATTATTCTGGTTTTAAAGCTTTTACCTTCGAAACGTATACTTTGATAGAATTTAATTTTTTTTATATCCTAGTGATGAATTCCGGTAAATTATTAAGATGTTATAAGTGTCGAATGAATTTTTGTCAAGAAAATATTTTTTATAGGATCATGTTATTTATATAGATCACAATCTTCTTGCGTGATCTCTTGTTGATGAAATTTAAATGCATGCATTTGCGTCTAAACTTTTGCATAAGAATCCTTATTGCTATTTGTTTGTTTAGGCATTTTCAAAGTGTCAAGGAATTTCACGTAATATTACTACTACTTCAAAAACAATGCGTGACATGGCCAAGTTTAAAGAGCTACAGCGACAGATGCAGGTAAGTAATGATTTAGAATATCTGTACCAATTTTTAAAGGCTTTTTTTTTTTAGGTTCTTACCAAATGTATAGGGAGGAAGGAAGAAACCTGGGATTAATTTCTTCAAGTGTACAAAATTTTAGTGCACTGAGTAATTTGTGGTTAATTTTCCCTCAGTTACTACTTGCAGATTATATACTTTTAGTACATAAATTTCGCTTTAAACATTCACAGTACATTTTCTATTGATAAAATATTTTTAAATTCTTTAATTATTTTTTCTTGAGAATAATTTCTCTTTCTGCTCGAAAAATATTGCTACAATGATCTGGTTTTGTCTAAAGTGGGCTTATTAAATGGAAACCAGTGCCATAACTAGGCAGATGCATCTGTTCTTGGAAATGGGGCTCAAAATGCTGTTCCCAAGAAATGATATTTTTAAATTAAAAATTTGTCCGGTTTTCTACTGCATGGTTTGATAATTAAATTTTGCCTTACTGAGACCCTAGATGTCTCTCATCATCAACATAAACATTTGAACGAATGGCCAAATTGACTGATATTTTCAATATGCCTCTGTTAACTTTCTTAATATAGGTTAGTATACTGTGTGAATATAGCAGTGTAGTCTATTTACTCATGTTTACTCATGTTTCAACTTTTAATAATTAATTTCATATTCAATGAATTTTTAGATTTTTATTATTTTTTGTAAAATACTTAGTTGGAAAAAACATAGGAATATGGGATACAGGCACATCCAAGCAAATAATATTTTCTGTATAAATAGTAGTATACAGTCTCTGTTCACAGTTTTTACTTCTACAAGCAGTATGTTAAAAATAATGGTTTATAACACATATTTCATCCTACCTAATATTAAAGAATCTTGGCTAATAATTATGGCAATTAAGTATGAAAAACACCAATTTATTTATGACACACAAAGAAAAAGAATAAAAGTGATAGAGTTTTTAGGTACATAGCTTGCACAAAGTGTTCCAAGTCCTAACTGATGTTTGTTGAGTCGCATGACCTGTAAAAAAAGAATGTTTATGTTCGTCAAATCTCTTATCATGTGATGACCTAGATTAATGGAAATCAGTGCCATAACTTAAAAGCAGGTGCTCCGTTTTAAGAATTACTCATGCCATCTGTTACCACTTAAGCCAAAAAAATTGCCCTTGGTTTACGGCTTGCTCTTGACGGCTGCATTATGGTAAGGACAGCTCGTCCATCAGGTTCTGGGGCTTTCCTGGTTTGGCATCTTCCTCAAATCAGGAGTAGTCTTGCCCTTCACATTGTCTGGCCACAGTGCTAATACATGGTAGTCACCTGTGGAAGAAAAAGGATCATCGTAAAAATATATTTCTGGGTGCCCATTGGCGGTACATGGACACCAAGTTTGTCCAATTCTTTGACTTGTTATTGTGTAGCAGTGATTCTTGGTACAAAAATAGCCGATACACAAATCCAAAATAACAAGTCAAAGAATTGCACAAACTTGGTATCCATGTACAGATTGACCTATTAAAAAAAATCAGAGAATTGCACAAACTAAATATTATGCACTCCCTTGACTTTGTCCATGTACACATTGATCTATATTTATTTAAAAAGTCATGGGAAAAAGAAAAAATGGATAATCTTTGGATTATGGTAACTTGGCGAAAATTTGGCAATCAACCCTGCTACAGCAACCTGCGAGTTTTGTTTTATCGAAGTAAAGGCATGTTTATTTTTTTTTTTTTTTTTTTTTTTTATTATTTTTTATTTTTTTTTTTTTACTCAACATTTTTTCCAACAATCTTCTAGCCGAATTACGCTTATACTAGAACTTTTATGGAACAAAAATGCTTAATCATGACGAAGATTAGGTGTGAAATTGGGAGAAAGCTCAGAATCGCAAACTGCTTGCCGCGTTTCTAAGAATTGCACATACACGGTATCATCCATGTACACGTCGACCTATTTTCACTTAAAAAAACATCCCAGAATTGCACAAAAATGGCATTGCGCACACTGTTGACTTTATCCATGTACACTACTAAATTCCTAGTTAGTAACTTTTATCGCCTTACCAAAATGTCGCCAAACTACCTGTTACCATATTCCAAAGATTAGCCGAAAAAATAAAATTTTTAATCTCAGTAAAGTACATTTTAAATCAAACAATGAAATAACATGAAAAAGGAAATTCATCTTAGCACTACACAAAGGAAATATCTATCCACTTAGCTTATTTACCAATTTTCATGTCTTCAATCAAACAAAATTCCTTAACAGCTTCCAAAAACTTCCTAAAATTGTCTGAACTAGAATCTGTATACTGATGTCGCCACATAAATTCACAAAAATAAGAGTAAAAAATATCCTCCCTAGTGCCGGTATTCTCAGACTTTCGATCATATGCATTTCCTTTCTACAAACAAGACACTTATAATAGTTATCAAGTAAACCTTCATTTACAAAAACAAAATTAATCTTCACATTCAGATATTTTACCATGTAAACCACAAAATAACAACATAGTTCTTATCATTCAAATTCACCGCAATCATGCAATCAATTATGTCATAATAGGGTTTCCATAGCGTTTGCCCACTCAAGTTACATTAAATGAAACAACAACTTAGCGATAATCTAAGGAGCACCCTTAAATCTACTCTAACCGCATCAGCAGTGGCAGAGTTTAATGCAGATCTTGTGCACTGTTCTTTACGTTGACCGAAAGGCCAGGGCAACATATCCACAACAAAGTTCTGTTAATATTACACATACTGAATAAATGCATGCATTATTTAAATATATTGAATGATCATGTTTTGATTCATTAAAATAGTCAAAAAATTGTTTCATGCAGTAGTAATTGCTAAAATATGTATGATTAGTAAAAGCATTATAGGTTATGCCAAAAAACTGTACTACAGTCAAATACCGAAAATCCTGAAATCCGCGTTGCCTCTCAAAATATAAACATTCAGTTTATAGGTTCCAGAAACTGCAACATTGAGTATGAAATATCGAAGAAAAATACGGAAGCACTTCCGGAGAGAACCCGGTGAATGTAAACATTGCCAAATTTGGCGATAATAGTTAAAATCTGGTAACCCAGCGGATTCAACCTATTCGCTTGTTGCAACCATTCATCTTGCGTCCATTTTGTTTCGTTATCACTGTGGTTTTCGCATTTGCAGATTTCTATTATTATTTTATTTATTACTTTTTTTTTCTTAATTTTTTAACAACGAATAGATAGAAATATTTCGTAGATCCCGGTTCTCGGTTCGGGATTGAAAAGGAAGAAGAAAATAAAGCAGGAGGGGTGAATGAATGAATGCTAATTTGTAAACACGGCTGTTCACGGTGTTCACGTTGTTTCTTAATTATTAACAGCTGTACGCATGCAGAACCATGAGTTTCGAAACGCTCAAATAATTCGTATTCGTACTCCGCAAAAAAAATGTGCATTTTAAATAATTAAGTAATGCTTTTATTTTTATTATTGTTTATTGTCACCTAAAAACTAAAATTATGATAATAAATCAATTTTTATGGCGTAAAATTGTAAAAATTGGAACAATATATTGTTAATGCTTTTCTTACAATAACCTTTCAGAGGATGGCAGGTGTGTGACATAAATAGATTATTAAATTTTAATAATAAATACTATTTATTACTGATTATCTAAGATGACAGAATAGTTTGATGTATTCCCATGGTCATCAAAATATTAGCAAACCACTGCTGGTGTAAGGAATATAGTTCATGTAAGGAAAAGTAATGAAATGTGTAATGTTCAAGTTTTATTAACAATGCTACTGAAGAAAATTTGATTACTGTTGAAGGTTATTAGTATTGTGAAATAAATTATGAAAAGGATGGGTATTTGTTTCAATGTAAATTGCTTTAACCTGCATGCAAGTAACTTAAAAAAAAAAATAAAAAAAAAAAAAATACTGAAAACTGTTAATCAGAGTTCATACACATTTCTGCACACAGAAATTAAGGACCATTAATGGAAAAAAATTCAGGACCTATGAGTAAACGCGAACTGAATAAATTCAATTAAAAATATTAGCGATGCCTGCATTTCACATTTGTAATACCATCCTAAAAATAAAATAGATCCATAAGTAGTATGTATTATTACTAAACATGAATTAACATAATATAATTAAGTTTGAAAATGAAATAAACTTTAAGTAATTGAATCAAGTAGCATTAAATATTTTACACTTTTAATAGTTGGGCATATTTGAAAGAAAGTGACATTTACATTTTACTAACTTTATGTAACTTCTTTATGTTATGTCTCATAATGTCACATACTGGTCAGGCAGCGCTAGCGTTGTAGTAAGTAGCAGCAGGTTGATTTTATGTCAAATGGCATAGGTTAAATGAGAAAGTATCATAATCAGCAAAATTCATAACAAAAGTTAATAATTTAATAATTAATTTCTGTTTAAATTTAATACCAATTATTTCCGTATATCACGTTTAACCTGTTAGTTTTACATCTACATGCTTATTAACTGTGAATTTTTACTACCATATGCTTAATATATTGTTTAGTCTGCTAACTAGAATTTACATGCACTAAAAATCACGTTTACAAAGTATCACGTTTACGGCTCGCCTCAGCGTCGATGAAACGCGAGCTTGGCGAGTAAAAATGGAACGGCGCCAACGGGTTCTCTGCGGATGAAAACCCAAAAATACTTACCGAACAATGTCGTCATATGAGTCATAACGGAAATACCGAATTATTGACATCGTGATAAGTTTTTTTTCCCGCTAATCTGCATTGAGGTAAGAAAGCAGACGATTCGGTTAATCTTTGGATTATGGTAATTTGGCGATTTTGGGCGAAAATTTGGGCAACCAACCCTGCTACAGCAACCTTCTACTTTTTTTTTCCGGCGCCATTTTGTCTTCACGAAGTAAAGACAGGTTTTTTTTTTT